CCTGCTGCACAAAATTCCAAAAAAGAATAATGCTGTGTGTTATAATCTTTATTATAGGTTTTTTTTGTTTGGAAAGCAATAGCATAAACATGTGGTCATCTTTTTCACTAGGTATACCCCTGTGGGCCGCTCCTTTTTCTCAGCTCCAGAAGGCTATGATCACCCCTTGGGCGGCGGCAGGGAGGTCTGGTTTGGATTCCATCAGTCTGTTCGGCCTGCCATGTGGAAGATGATGCTCAATATTGATGGTAAGTTGGGATTCAGGGTTAAGAATAAAGATAATAACAAACACGCCTCTAAGAATAAAAATAACCTTGCCATTTGGTCATTTTGCTTGAGTTTGTGGTACCATATTTCTGCGTGGTGATAATTTTGGTGCCACCTGTGCAGAGGGACTCTCGTAACCAGAAGCCATCTTCTACACTGATTCTTAGTTCATGTTGTAAATAATGAGAAGTTAAAGTAGTTTGGGGTATTTTGGTAGAATTTGTATTGGAATAAGAAAACTTTCAAACTTTTAATTGTTATACACAAGGGATTTTCACCTGAAAAATACTTGTGTGTCATTGGTCAGGTTGAGGATTTGGTAGATGTCTCTTGTAATATCCTTATCAAACACAGCGGTAACTGTGAAGTCAACCTGCTGCAGGAGTTGTAATGATAACAGTAGAGTGAGAGCGTAATAATGAAGGGTATGTGTGCATGCATTGGCTTCCTGTTCAGCTGGTTCAGACCAGACCTGTATGGCAAAGACCACCTAGATATCCTAGACTTTTTTCTGCATTTGTCACCATGTCAGTGTTTGGGCAGAAATTTACCTGCCAGGCTAAAAAAAAAAAATAAAAATAGAAAAAAAAAATCCTGTGTAGGAAGGAAAAGCCTAGCACAGCTTGTTTTCCTGTTTAAAGGAAGGAAAAGCCTAGCACAGCTTGTTTTCCTGTTTAATTTCTGTTTTGGAACATCCACAGTGCTACTGGCAGTTTGCTTGAGACGTGTCTCCGTGCAGCTGTCCGCAGTAGGTGGTGTTCAGTACTTCCAAGAAAGCTCTGTAAAATACGTCACAAACACTTTTGTGAATAGGGCTAATTGAGATGGGCTTTCTTATGCAAAATCAGATCTGCTTTGCACCACTTTATTAGCTCCCAGATGAATGCATCTGAAATCAACTGGTGCGCGTGTCAGACTCCCTGGTTCTGAAAGCACTCTGAGTCTATTTAGTTGTTAAACTCCTATTGAAAAATGTCAGCGTTTGAGATGCAGGTGCTGCCTGGAGTTTTCTGTAATTCACATTCTGTTCTCACTGTCTGTTTGAAGTGCTTTATAAAACCAAGGTAAATAGCTTGTCTTGCACTAGGTTTGAACTCTAAGTCGGGTTGGGCTTAGCATCTGTCGTGGAGCATAATAAAATGTTGCAGATGATACTGAGCTTTCATGCTGAAAATTTGCAAGTCCATGTGTTCTCATTTACCTAAGTTGTGAATGATACTCATGTGACTTCAGGTGGGTTTGTTCTTGTAAAATTACCTTTCAAACAGCAGTTATGATGTAGCCGTTGTTTGAAAAATGAATGTAAAAATCTTACCCGATAAATAACCAGTACTAGTATCTGTATGCTAGGTACTAAGATAATTAATACGCTTGTCCTGCCTGAATTGTAGTTTACATCCATTTATGATGTACTGCACGATTACTTTCTGTGAAGCAAGTTTTTCTTATCAGCATTAGAAAGAGTAGTAGCTACTCTTGCAGTAGAAATTTTTCAGTCCTTTCTGTGAATGAGAAACTTCAGAACTTTGTAAGCTACGACTTAGAGGGCAATTGCTTTATGTTGTGGTCTGAGGCTGCGAAGGTTACGTGCAAATTCCATCGCTTGATTTTGTTCCAGTTGTTAAACTTGTACGAGGTTCTCCGCAAAATCTGTTTCTCTGTGTCGCTTGTGCTACTGTGGGAGACAGACGACGCGCTGCCAGTCGCTGGGGCTGTGAGCTCTTGGTGTGCATTCAGTAGCCGGCACCCGGAGGTGTTGGCCGGAGTGCGTCCTGTGAAGTTGGCCGCCTGCTAAAGTGACGCATGACTGAAGAATGTTGCGTTGTGTTAGCACAGAGATGTGGTGGGTTCGGTACACGAGATCTGCGTGTCAAGTATTTTTCTGTTGTTGCCGTTTAAAAGTTTTAAATGTATGGAGTAGTTTTCTTGTGTTTGAGCTATATCTAGTACCACCTCACCTTTCTTACCAAAAGGTGGTCTTTCAATTGCTTATGACTTGGTCAAGCAGATTGTTTGTGGTCTTGCTTCCATGGCGTGAGTCAACTGTCCTGTTTGAAACCAGTATATTGTCACTTAGCGTGATTGTGCCATTGGTATGCAGGGAGGGTAAGAGAGTTCAGTACATCAAGGGTTGCACTTGCCGCTACAGTGTGCGTAATTTGTGTGTAGTCAAAACAGGGCTCGTGTTTCTACCAAATATTGTTTCAGTAATTGAGCAGATCGTATCATTGACAAAATTATATTGCGTATTGAATAATCTTAGCTTTGCGTGTTAAAAAGTCTTCAGTAGAGAGATCTTAATACAGTCTCTGTGTGCAGCTCCATACAGAGTTGAAAGAGAATGTCTCCCTGGGATATTACAGCTCTCTAGAAATAAATAGTATCTGGAGAAAAACCATTTCAAAACCCTGAAATGCAAAGTGGTTGCAGGATGACTGTGCAGGAGACTGATGTGTCACTGTGGGCCCTATGCTGGCTTTTATATGCTTAGTTGTTGCAACGCTTGCTAATCTGTTTTTCAAAATATGTGCTGCACAACGTGTGCTTGAGGCTTACGTAGAGTTTTAAAAAATTCATTTATATGCTGCTTCACAACATTCTGACTTGAGTTTTTTTACATATTTTGCTCTTTTTAGTTTCTGCCACTGCCTTCTACAAAGCACAACCTGTAATTCAGTTTATGTGTGAAGTTCTTGACATTCATAATATTGATGAACAACCAAGACCTCTGACTGATTCTCATCGGGTAAAATTCACCAAAGAGATAAAGGGTGAGTAGAAGAGTATCTGTTCTGTCCTGGGTCACACAATCAAGCTAATTCTAAGGGACTTGTTTTAACTGGAAGCCTGCTGCTTAGCGTGCATCAGGAGGGCCCTGAAGCCGTCAAGAGAATTGCAGTATGCCCTGTTTGTAGTTCTAGTCCTGACTGAAACAGTGCAGCTCTGCAGACATGAAAGGTGAAAAGTGAGATATGTTCCCAGTGGCTTTAAGAGGGAGAAGGAAGGTATGTTGTTCACTGTCTGGATCGAGGTGAGTGACTGTTGCCTTGCTGGCTGGCTAGTCATAAGCAAGGGTCACCGAGCCCGTAGTGGTATTGAGCTGTAGGTCTCCCGCTGTTTAAATGCCGAGGCAGAGTGAAAATTGATTTCAAAGCTAACATCATTGATTCTTTGAAAGTATGCCGTTGCAGTGACTTCTAATAACTGATTCCCTTATGGAAAAACAAGTACCACTTGCTAACTTGCAGCTGGAGGCCAAATTCCATTCCAAAGGAATTGCCTAAGCTGCTGGTTTGAGTAGTTTCGCTCCATAGATGCTACTTTGCTTTGCATTTTCCCATACCTATTCATTCCAGTGTAATTTGCAGAGGCAAAAGCCTTGAAAGAGCTCAGCTCTTCAAAGCTCTGCTCTTCAACACTTGTGTTACTTGATGCAAGATTAGACTCTGAAATACTGGGCAGCAAAAAAGTAAATTTGAACTGTAGACAGAAATTGATGTGTTCATAGAATAGTCATTAGTGAAAAACAGCTTAAAGGAATTATTTTGTAGTAGTCCTAACATACCTCCATTTTACATCCACCTGTCTGTCTTCATTCTGGAAGATGGGTAACTGGAGAATAAGAAGCTGTCTGTCCTTGATCTTGGATGCCTCAGACACTGCTACCGTAGTCAGAGAATAATGAAAGGTTACCTTTGCTGTCAATATTTGTTTTCACTACTGTAGTATCTGGGAACTGCAGCCAAGATGTGATCACCTATAGTGAAACAAACCCTGCATTGAAAGAGTTGGCGCTCTGTGAGCAGCTCTGTGGGAGCGTAGCGCCTGCTGGAGTGTCACAGCAGATTAAGGACAAAGCAGTGAATGGGTTCCAGATACCTCTGTACTCACAGCCCTTTTCTGCCTGGCCTCACTGCTTCGTGGTTTCTTTTTTGTATTTCTCTTAATGTTATATCAGGGCAGTGGTAGTTTGATTTTGCTTATGCCATCCTCTAAGTAGTACTGATGTTAATGTTGCAGTTAGTGTTGTCAGCAGTGGATGAAGTTCAGGTGATACTTCTTCGGGATGTCTGTGTCCTTAGGTTACTGAACGTGGTACCTGCTGTCTGGTGCTTCGGGACCTGATTTGATGTGGGGTATTTAGTCTGGTCTGCGACGCACATAAGCCTCAGCAGGACAAGTCACCCAGCTGCTTTCTCAAAAGCCTTTACTAGTAGACTGTAGGTTGAATCTTTTGGGTAAGAAGGCTTTGTTTTCAGCTGCCTTCCCTTCCGTGGGGCTGGGGAAGAGCGCAACAGCATGTTGATTCTATGCAGCACTTGTGTGGTAGGCTCAGTACTTCCAACAGATGTTAGTCTGCTCTTTGTGTGCAATACAGGCAGTGCATGCACAGGTCATAGAAATGGCCTCTGAAAGCCTCCAGAAGCTGCTGTTTCTGCTGTCATTGTGGACAGTATCAAGTCTGGTGAGCCTCTGGTGTGTTGGCTGGGTGCTTTTAGATGAGATCTGCAGCTGCTCAAAATCTGAAGTTAAACTTGGTCAGTGAATTTAAGGAAAATTACAGGCTGAATGTGGACACAAAGCTAGAGGGAAGAATGAGCAGTAAGGTTTTGCCATTTTGATAATGTTGGAACTGCTTGTTTTAAGAGGTATACAGCATTGAGAATGAGAACAGAAGAATATGGTGAAAACAGCCGTTTGTCTGAGGTTAGTTGTGTGCCTGTTAAGTGAAACTGCTACAAGAAATTAAGATGACATTGAACATGAAATATTACACATTATGATTTGGTTTTGAGGATAATACCTGATTAGTCAGAAATCAAATTATAATGAAAGCAAAATGTTTAGAGGATGATAATTTCTTATGTTGTACTCTTTGACGCTGACTATCAAAGCTGTTGGATTAGAACATGTTCTGTTGTAAGAAACCTTGTGTCTCCTGTGCAAATTTTTGTGTAGTTGTGACATCAGGGTTTTTGGTACTTTTGCGCAGGTCTAAAGGTAGAAGTGACTCACTGTGGAACGATGAGAAGGAAATACCGTGTTTGTAACGTAACGAGAAGGCCTGCGAGTCATCAAACGTAAGATGCTTTTAGTCAGAGCATAAAATGTGTGCTAGCTTAACACTGAATGTGTGACAGTGCCTCATATTTTATTAGTTTTGGGATGTTGATACTTGCCAACTAAGATTTTGTATTATATTAAAATGTATTTATTAAAATGTATTTTCAGCTTTCCTTTGCAGTTAGAAAACGGCCAGACTGTGGAGAGAACAGTAGCACAGTATTTCCGAGAGAAATACAACCTCCAGCTGAAATACCCTCATCTTCCTTGCCTACAAGTGGGACAAGAACAGAAACACACCTACCTGCCTTTAGAAGTAATGAGCCTGTTCTGATAAATCAGCTTGTTGTTGGTAGGCTGTGTCATTCTGCAGAACGCTAAGTAGCAGCGCACTTTGCAGTACAAGCATGTTTATGTATTTACGTGTTCACTACTCCTTTATTTCGGTAAAGACTGTCTACATTTTTATAAAGTACTTTTTAGAACTATGAGAAAGAAGGATGCAGTTGCTGGAACACACTGGGGCTGTGTTTTGTAGTGATAGCACAGTTTTGTGAACGTATGGTGTGTCGGGACCTGTTTCTAGGCGCTCCTATTGCGTGTTGATGCTGCTGATTTTCCTTTAAGGTATGTAACATTGTAGCTGGCCAGCGGTGCATCAAGAAGCTGACGGACAATCAGACATCAACTATGATAAAGGCCACAGCGAGATCTGCTCCGGATAGACAGGAGGAAATCAGCAGATTGGTTAGTTCTTTAATTCCAGTTCGGTGAGATACCAGTCACTAAATGACACTGCACTAGATTGAATTTATGCAAAAACTTCTCATACAACCAACCTAGTCTTTTCATTCCTTCCTTCTAGCCCTTTAACTTAATAGATTTTAACTCTTTTTTAAATAAGATTTATTTAAAACAGCTTGCAATAATAGCACAAGTCCAGCAGTATGGACTCCTGTGCTACAGTCTTTACAATGACTTCCCAGCAGGTGTTGGAACTGCCTAGGACAGGTAGTTCAGTGGTTTGCTGTGTTGGGCCCTAGGGTTTTTAAACAAATTTGTGAAATGGACTTGGGCTTTAGTACCCGAACTTATAAAAGTAAGATTTTGTTCTAGGTGCTTTACTTTTCCATGATTCCTGTTGATATTTGAATACCATACTTTTTTTGTTATTATAGGGTGCTTGTATTTGTAGCAGCGCTAAATACTTTTAAAATCATGAGCTAGACTCTGAGGACTTGGTCTTGAGAATTTCCCATTTTTTTTCTGTTACAAGTTTGAAGATGGTAGCATCACTCTAACACTACTTAATTGTAATAGGCACTGAAGAAAAACTGGAGCAACCTGATTCATCCAGAATTGTACAAGGAATCTGTAACAGGGTAGAAGAATGATTCTAGGTCTCCTGAACCTCAGTCTTGTACTGGAGGTGTTTGACTGCTTTCCTTAGTACGCACTAAATGTTTTCACCTGATAACTCCAATATCCCTCTGTGGTGTTGAATCCAGACACTCCAAACATCGGTGTTTTTTCTGACCCTTAATATTACAAAACATTAATGTTTTTAGCTGAGTACTCTTATAAGCAGATAGCTCTAATCTGAAATGGGTTGGGTTTTGAGCTGAGAAGTTAGCCAAGATTTTTCCATTAAAGTAAGCCCGTTCTGGAAAATACAGAAGACATTAATGTGCAGTAATGAAATGGATTAATTTGTTTAGTCTTGGGTTTGCTTGTCTCTAAAGGAGAATGCTTTTTGACCCATCCTGTGAGTAAACAAAATGCTTTTGAATGAGCGTACTACAAATGAGCACTTGAGTAACTAAGGAACAAAAAAAAGTGATCCAACATATCTCATGGTATTCATTGTTTTCACGGGGGATAGGTTGATATTGTTGAGCATTTTTCAATGACAAAAGGAATTGTTGTGGCACACTTCTGCAGCATTCCTGTCAGTTGTTTGTTTTATGAATTATAATTAGATACTTCTGTAATATGGAAAAACTCTCCTACTAGGTGAGAAGTGCAAATTACGATGCAGATCCATTTGTTCAAGAGTTCCAGTTCAAAGTCCGGGATGAGATGGCCCATGTGACGGGGCGCGTGCTCCCAGCTCCGATGTTGCAGTATGGAGGACGGGTGAGGTTTTTGCTGTTTCTTTTGTTTCTATTTTGAAGAGTGATTTCCCACACACATTGACTATTGTAGTCGGTTCAGTTGCATTGTGCAATACAGGAATCAGTTTGAATGGTAGACTTGTTTTTGTTATGCTGAAACTGAAAATAGCATAGGCGTTCTCTTTTTCTGTCACTTGAATATCTGTTGCTTTTGTTTCCGCAGAACCGAACAGTGGCAACCCCGAGCCATGGAGTGTGGGACATGCGAGGGAAGCAGTTTCACACTGGTGTGGAGATCAAAATGTGGGCTATAGCTTGCTTTGCAACACAGAGACAATGCAGAGAAGAAATACTGAAGTAAGGCATGTCAGCGTTCAGGCTTTGGACTGTTCCCTTAAGGAAGCCATCTTAGTGGAAACATGAACATAGGACTTATAATGAGTGTTTTGCCTGGTTTTAATCATCTGAGATGTTAGGGAGGGAATCCAAGCTGGTTTGCTTCCTTGCTGGAAGCTACAGCCAAAACACTCTACCTAGGTACACCATGAGGTGTTGGTGATATTGCTGCTTTGTATCTGGTTACTTCTGGCATCTTCAATGAAGTACTAAAGGTGTCTAAACTTTTTTTTTTTACCTTTCTGGCCTATGGTGGTTCAAAACTCTATGGCCTCCACATAATGAATGTTTTTAAAATGCTGTTTTAAAATCTATTTGGAATTGTCTTCCTTTGAGTAATACAGTTCTTCTGTCCCCTTCTGCTTTGGCTACTGTGTGCTATTGCTGCTGCGAAAATTCCAGTAACTTCTCATCCTTAGGGGTTTCACAGACCAGCTGCGCAAGATCTCCAAAGATGCAGGGATGCCAATCCAAGGCCAGCCCTGTTTCTGTAAATACGCCCAGGGTGCAGACAGCGTGGAGCCCATGTTTCGACACCTCAAGAACACCTATTCAGGGCTTCAGCTCATCATTGTCATCCTGCCAGGGAAAACCCCGGTGTATGGTAAGGGAATACCTCTGTCTTCACCTGTTTGGTCAAATATCGTTCTAAGAAATTTGCTGCCCAGCATATGCTAGAAAATTCTTAAGGACTATTCTTGAGGCATTAGAAACCAATGTTTTGCCTGAAGTTAAAACGAGTTGGAAGCATGCAGTTGAGTTGGAAGTTATTTTGCAGAGTGTATGCATTAAAATTATTGTGACTTAAGCTAAGATCAAAATATAGTAATAGCTTCAAATGTTGTGTCCTAATATTTGCTTCTCAGCGGAGGTGAAGCGTGTGGGAGATACGCTGTTGGGAATGGCCACGCAGTGTGTTCAAGTCAAGAATGTCATTAAAACATCTCCGCAGACCCTATCAAATCTGTGCCTGAAGATTAATGTTAAACTAGGAGGAATCAACAACATCCTTGTACCTCATCAACGGTAAGACTCTTTGTGGAGAATTATTTGGGTTTTGCTTTTGCAGCTGTGGTTAAGTTTGATATTTAGCACACAAAATTTAAATACGGCCAAGTTTTAGGTTGAAATATTCTTCTGGTAGTAGTACTTGATATTTGAGGTAGAATTAAATTTCTTCTAGCATAGGCTCTGAGAGGTAGTTGGCTTGTGAGTTAGGTCTTACGCCAAGGTGCTTTCCAAATGTTTTATCACCACCAAAAATTTGAAGAGAAACTGCAGATCTAGAGATGTTGAAATATTAATATAATCGGAAGTTTTCTGCAGGTGTTGGAGCACTCAACACATCACAGAAGAATGTAACTCTGGGTTAACCTATCAATGTACTGTTAGAAAGGGAGAAGAATATTGGAGGCATCTTCTCTCACTTTTATAGGCTGGGTAATTCAGCTCACACTTGTTCTTTGCGTGGCTGTTCTGTGCTCTGTTTGTATGTGCGTTCCACGTGCTTTGATGCCTTCAGTGAGAAGGGTTGAGAAGTCCAACCCGCTTGTGCTGCCATCTTTCTCACATGGATTATTCTAGAGAAGCACAAGTCTTTCGGTTCTGAAGACTAGAAATTCAGGTTGACTCTGACCTTTACTAGGGCATATCTGTTCTTTGAGTGGAAATATGCATGATGCAAGGTAGCAAGCCAGAAAAACTTTTGGAGTGCAAGTCTTAAGAATTCTTTCCTGAGAGCCTGGAATCAAAGTTTAAATGTGAAACAGTGGTGCGTGGAAGGGTATTTTGAAGGCAATGGGAGATCATCCTGCTGCTTAAATCTTGTAAACCAGAATAATGTGTGTGCTACTGCACCCAGCTATTTGTTGCACAGCTGGGGCAGTACCGAAGTGGCGCTTAGCTGACCTCCAAGCACTACGGTAATCAACCTGTAGAATGATAGTTTCTGTAAGAAGCTGTCTGTCCTGTGCAGGTGCAGCTCTGTGGCTTTTCTCCACTAGAATCAAGCCACAGTTAAATGGCAGCGTATTTTGGAATGACTGCTATGGTGGTTTCAAGTTCGCATCTTGTGCACAGAGATTTCATTGTTTAGGGCTGGCCAGACTACCTGATAAGAAGGCTTCTCTGTGCAGCTTAGCTGAAATAGAAACAAGACCTCGTACTGAGCAACAACCTTGCGCCAACTGTTCATCTACAAGTGTGACTTAGCACTTTTTTCTTTTTGAAGACCTTCTGTGTTCCAGCAGCCAGTCATCTTTTTGGGAGCCGATGTCACTCACCCTCCTGCTGGAGACGGGAAGAAGCCTTCCATAGCTGCTGTAAGTTTTATTAAATTAGCAGTGTTTTTTCACCTTGGGTAAATGTTAGAATAGTAAATGCAACTCATGGGCTATGTCTGTGTTGGATATCTTTCAGGGTTTATGCCAGTTCTCTGTGCACATTTCCAATGTAATTAAAAATCATGGTTTTTAAAATAAAAACACTGCTTGAATCTTCAGACTGCTTGAATGTTTGCTTAGCTTTTTAATTTTTAAATCAAGGTAAAATGGTAGTCACATTTCTGCAAAAATATTCTAAAGGAAATAATGCAGTGATAGTTAATAACATTTTTGTATTTTTAAAGGAGAAAAATGTAATTAAAGGCCTGGTTTGGCGGGAATGTTTTTGATACTTCTTACCTTTTGTGTTGGTACAGTCCAGGAGATCAAGGTGGTGGTTGGATACTTGATCTGCCCCTTGCTATTTTGTCCCCTTGGTATTTTACTTAGCATTGATTGCAGTTACAGAAACTGTATCCTTGTTTAAATTAACTAAGGCAAACTCTGAAGTGTGTCTCTGTGTAAAAGGTGAGAAAACTTCAAAGAAATAAAAGTCTGTATTGTAAGAATATGCGTTAGGGTGCTGTCAGGAAGACTCCAATTCTGCAGATGCATTTCAGGGTGCTGGGGAGGGCATGTTTTATACCTCCCTTCAAAAGGTGTTAAACCTGGACCTGCTACAAGTTCCAGTTAAAAATGTTACTGTGGCTGTTGTTTTAACATAAGCATCTTTTACTTGAAAATTGCTTTTCTTGGCTTTTTTTGCTATTTTAGGGGGTTTTTTTGCTGTAGATTTGATCTTGAAGCCTTCACTCACGTTGTTTTCCCCTGAAGGTTGTAGGTAGTATGGATGCTCATCCAAGCCGGTACTGTGCCACGGTCAGAGTTCAGCGACCCCGGCAGGAAATCATCCAAGATCTGGCCTCCATGGTGAGAGAGCTTCTCATCCAGTTCTACAAGTCAACACGGTTCAAGCCCACGCGTATCATCTTCTATAGGGACGGGGTCTCTGAAGGACAGTTTCGGCAGGTTGGTTCATTTGTGGGTTTCCTGAAGGACTGTGTTACTACATGGTAACTCCAGTTCTTGTATTTGAATAGCTGTACTGTTGGAGTTGCTTACAAGTACAGTGAGATACCACAAAATAGTTGAGACTTTCAAGGAGAGAATTTCTCAAGCATGTTGGGTAAGAGAAGTTGCAACTCCTCTCCTGTCTGGGAAGGAAAGGTCTTAGAACTTGGGAAACAATATATGTCTCAGTACTTCCTAAAATTACTAATTGTGTGGCAAAGTTGCACTTAGTGTTAACTACAAGCCATTTATTAGGTGTTGTATGTAGAATACAATGGAAGGAGAACTTAAACTATTCTGTTCTTGTGTTTATAGGTTTTGTATTATGAACTGCTAGCCATTAGAGAAGCCTGCATCAGTCTGGAGAAAGATTACCAGCCTGGAATAACCTATATTGTGGTGCAGAAGCGACATCATACACGACTGTTCTGTGCTGACAGAACAGAAAGGGTAATCATTGCCCTCTCATAGCCTTATGTGAAAAGCTTGATGTCAAACTCTTATGTTGCTGCAGAAAATACTCGCATGGGCTTCTCCGTCAGTCTGATTGTCTTTGTGTTGAGCAAAGATGTTGAATTGATAAGCACAACGTGTGGTCCCAGATTGAAAAATCATTGACCTTAATATTTAAAAAAATAAAAATAAAAAATCCCCATCAGGGTTTGTGATGTTGCACATCAGGGTCTGGAGAACAAGTCTTATGAGGAGCAACTGAGGGAGCTGGGGCTGTCTAGTCTGGAGAAGAGGAGGCTGAGGGGGGGACCTTATTGTTCTCTACAGCTACCTGCAAGGAGGGTGTAGTGAGGCGGGTGTTGGTCTCTTCTCCCAGGTAACTAGCGATAGGACAAGAGGCAATGGCCTCCAGTTGTGTCAGAGGAGGTTTAGATTAGATATTAGGAAAAATTTCTTTACTGAAAGAGTGGTCAGGCACTGGACCAGGCTGCCCGGGGAGGTGGTGGAGTCACCGTCCCAGGAGGCATTTAAAAAATGTGCAGATATGGCACTTCAGGATATGGTTTAGTAAGCATGGTGGTGTTGGGGTGACAGTTGGACTTCATGATCTTAGAGGTCTTTTCCAGCCTATTATTCTATGATACTGGTGTTTGTTGGTGAACTATAGCTAATGTGTAGCTCACTGGGACCAAATCTGCAGCAATTGTAATAGATGAAAATGCAAAATGATGGAACTCTTACTGTTCTTTGGAGTGAGTCAATCCAGACTCAGGCTGACAATTCTGAATACAAATGTGTGTGCAGCTCTTCTGTCCTTCGTTCTAAAGTGCTGTAGGTGAGGTGTTCTGTGTTGAGCTGGTCGAGAGCTGTACTGTGCCCTTGTCAAACATCCTGGGCTGCTGCGTTGACACATTCCAGGCAGTACTGAGGTGGTTCATTCACTGAAACCGTGCACGTGTTGAATAGGAGCTTGTGGTTTTAATGACAGTTGAGATGTACAAACAGTTGTTAGCTGCACTTCTTAAAAAAAACCTTTTCTCTAGGTTGGACGAAGTGGCAATATTCCAGCTGGAACAACCGTAGATACAGACATTACACATCCATATGAGTTTGATTTTTACCTCTGTAGCCATGCTGGAATACAGGTACGATTGGTTCTGTGTAAGTAAATGTGAATTTAGAACATGTTGTTTTTCTCCCTTTTGTGACACTTGTGTTTACAGTTATTTAGTAGGGAAATGTCATTTAGATTTTATTCAGTCTTATCTGAGATACCACATTATTGTGGGATGAAGAGTGTTATTTGCTTAAGAGGTGGTCTCTGCTACACTGTTAAAACTTGCATTGATGGTAAGTGATGCTTTAAGTTTACTTCAAAATGGTCATTTTATTTTGTATCTTTGTTATTTCTGAGAATAAAGCTTGCTAGTTTTAGGATTTATACCTGCAATGAAATTAACATTGAATCAAGTTTTCAGATGTAAACAGTTTAAAAGACTGAAGGCAGTGTCTGGCTGTTTGCTGACTAAATGCAGACTAGTGAGTTACAGGCTGCGGAAATTAAATCCAACAATGTGGTGGTATTGCCAGCAATACAGTGGAGAGTCAACTTAATGACAAAAATTGTATCAGGATATTGCTTAACAATGGAAAAGAACCACAACTCTTTAAATTTTTATCATGTGAGTTTGACCACGTTGTCACAGGTTTTGTTTAGGTTGGCTGGGCATGTTTTCTTTTCCAGTTTTGAATCTTTGCAATGTTTTTTTTTTTTTATTCAGGGGTTCAAAACTGCTGCTGCTTCTCTCCACTTACTTGTCTATCTCTTTGCTAGGTCTGGGCAAGCCAGTTTTTGGCCCCTTGGAAAAAAATAGTATCAATATAAGTTGAAGCAGAAGTGCCCGATGTAGTTGCAGCTCATTGTTTTTAATATAGCAAGCCACAAAGAAGTCTCAACTAAATTGATACTTTATGTAATTTTTTTCGGAAGAAAGACTTCTAGCCTGGCTAAACCACAACTATTGACCTAATTCAGTTACACTGTAAGATTTAAATGTAGTGCATCACACCTTTTGTGGGGGGAAACAGGAGGGAAGAGGAGTGTTCGCTCCAAAAGAGTGTCTTTCAAAGTGAGTGAGGTCAGTCGTTTAATAGAGAACTTTTAGAGTTCCTGAGACCTGTAGTCACTATTTGGTACTTGTTAATGATCTGTAAGGAAACGTTAAAGTGCTGATGGTAAAAGTGTGTGTCTGGGGGGGAGCCTTGACACGAGTGACGTGTATCTGGAGCTGTTTCTAGTGTTCATACGTTTAAGTTAGGGCGCTGAGGAATTGGAAAGAGGTAAAAGCAGCAGTTACTTCTCTGTGGCGAGAGACAGTTTTAATTGAAGGTGGGTAAGAGGTGGTGTAATCATGGTTTAGTCATGCTGGGAGCAGGTTTTGATTGTTGAGGGTTATCTAGAAGGCATGTGGGTTTTTTCCCAAGCAAGTCTCATTAGAGCAGCATAATCAATGTAAATGTTAGACTTCTTATTCACCTTTAAATACATTTAGGGCTGACACAGGACTGAATTTTCTTTGGCTGCTGTTAACATAGGAGTTCAGACTAGATAGTCTGGCCCTTACTGAACTTAAAAATCTGACTTTATTGTGTGGAAAAGCAAGATAAGTGAATTCATGTTCCCTTCTTCTTAGGGTACCAGCCGTCCTTCACACTATCATGTTTTGTGGGATGATAACTGTTTTACTGCAGATGAACTTCAGCTGCTGACTTACCAGCTCTGCCACACATATGTGCGCTGTACACGATCGGTTTCTATACCTGCACCAGCGTATTATGCTCACCTGGTAGCATTCAGAGCACGATACCATCTTGTGGACAAAGAACATGACAGGTAAATTAAAATATGTGCTTCAGTTTTTCTCCCCGTCGGTCTTTGCTCCATCGTCAGGCATAAAGCCATCTGACTGTAGGTAGTGACTGCTCGTTTTGCAGTTAATTTTAGTTACCCCTGGGACTAGTCTTAACATCATTTCTGACAGCTGCTGCTCAGTATCAGACAAGAGTGGGCTGGTGGGTTCTACTGAGTAACACTCGGACTGAAAGAATCAAGTTTAGTTTAATAAAGGATTCTGTTATTACTTTGACATGGTCTGAGGGAATCAAGCCACGCATTTAATTTTTTGCTTTAGAATTAAGAGTAGTCATGAGTGAAGCAAATGTGAAGTGCCTTCCAGTTACCTAACTCTGCTTTATACATCGTAAGTATCTTATAACCTTCAAGCCATCAATATGTTTGTAGCAGGCTTATTTTTGGATGAACAAATGGAGCAGCTAAGGTAAAGGGATTTGTCAAAAGCCTTGAGGCTACTGGGCGAATAGACAAGTAGATCTTTCTTTTTCAGTATCCGGTTCTATTACTATTGCCGTGTTGCTCTCTTAAACGTTGAAGAAGTGTGAAGGTGGCTTTTTGATACAAATTAGTATGGTTTACAGCCCTGCTTGTCTTGTTCTCGTTTCCTTGCAGTGCTGAAGGAAGCCATGTTTCAGGACAAAGCAATGGGAGAGATCCACAGGCCCTCGCGAAGGCTGTACAAATTCACCAAGACACCTTACGCACGATGTACTTCGCTTAAGTCAATAAAATGGGAGCATACTCACTGAAAGGAAGAACTGAAAACTTAAGCCACATACAATGTATGTTTCCAGTGGGGTTGGTTTAGGGGGTGTGCCTCCGATCGTGCTGGAGTTGCCGCTGTGCAGGGGCCAGAGGCTCACCCTTAAATTGACACAAGGAAGATTGTTTACTTCATCGAGGAACACAGCACTATTATGCAATATGAAACCAGCCAACTGCTTTTTTGGCGCGGTCTCCTGGAGGAAGCACCGCCATCATTTTTTTTTTTTTTATTTCTCGTAGTTTAACCCTCTTATGCCTTTACCTCAAGTTGCTCGGCAGCACAAACCACCTTTGTAGGAACAATCACAATGATTGTTTGGGGGACAGAAGTGTGCAAAAGAAAATACAATTTTTTTTACCCCACTGCATTGAGGAATCTTTCACTCTCAGTATTGCTATCAAGCATTCAAATGTGAACATATCCAAGTACATTTGAATGTACAGCACTAGCTAGAAAAAATTGAGGGGAGGAAGATGTTTTGCACACTAATCCAATAATTTGAACATAATTTAGCCAACTGCTGCCTTTGTCTTTCTTCACAGCTTTGGAGTTCTCAGCTCCAATAGTTCCCTTTTCACAAGCAAACAAAGAAGCTCATGGTATTATGTGCAGGCAGTAGTGACCCAAACTCTTCTTGCTCCCTGGTGAATTTACTAAAGCTGCTGTTTTACCTAGTCCGAAAGTTTCAATTACTTTCTATCTGGCAAGTCAAATGCATTGAAGCTTCACGTGAGATCAGATGTCCCAGGTTTTATGGGACTACATACAGTAAACACCAGAACTGAAACTTTAGAGCTAAGGTCTTTTGGAAATAAGAAAAATGCTAGTTTACTTGCTGCCTCTCACACCTTAATGTGATTTCATATGTATGTGTTTTTGAAGTTTAGCTTCCTTTTGTTTCTTTTATATTTATTAGAGTAATAATAATGCTTTAATTTAATTATTACAGAACATATGGTCAACATCAACTTTTATTTTTTAGAAATGTAACCATGTTTATTTTTAAAAAACTGACAACTTGTTTTGCTATCTTTTAGTGCAATAAGCGTTCTAAAGGAAAACTGTGTCCATTGAGCTGTACTAAAGCAGTGTTTGTACCACTAACTGTGGAAGAATGGACACCTCCATGATTTTAAAAGGACAAAGTAAAAGCCTTAATTTTGAAAGGAAAGTTTTATAGTCAGAAGGAATCTTGAATTTTCCTTTTTTAAATCAAAAAATAGCAAAAATGCTTCTAGACTTCTGCAAGCTTTACTTGTCACTGCAGTATTTTGATTTAACAAAGGAATTGGCTGTATTTTTGGCTTTGAAACACAGAGGATATTTGAATTAAATGGAAAGGGTTTTTTATTATGATCTAAGTTTTTACATGCTTAGTTAAATCTACTTGACGTCAGTAAAATGTCTGGAATTAATAAAAGTTTTTAGGCTTTTTTCCTCTTTGATAATGACTTTCCTTTTAAAATTAAGTTATTGGTAACTTCATTTCACTTTGCAAATAAAGAGGGCTGGGATAGTTCTAACATGTTAAATCACTGAAATGTGAAACAAATTAATGGGACTCTTTCATTCCACTTTAAAGGTGAAACAATATTTAAGATGTCAGAGACGAGCATTTATTCAGTGAGGGGACTGGGGAGTTTTGCACTTTGTAAACTCGTGAACTGCATTTTTGACTGTTTTTATTTGCACTGGTTCATAGTATATATACTGCAGATCGTTTGTATGGGCATTGCTGTTATCCCAGCCCTTCTGAACTCCTCCTGCTCTCCACATGAAAACCAGTGGGTTGGTAGAAGTCGCTTATCTCCTGTCATTCTCGTGAAATCCGCTGTTTGCCAATATACTGTATTTTGAGCCTAAAATCTGAGCCCATTTTGCTTCACCAGGCATGAATCTACCCCATTTTTTCTGCCAGAAAGCAAAGTACTGTATTTTGTGCATTTGTATATCGTATGGAAGTGTGCGTAGTGCTGTTCACGACACTGTCTCAAAGAGCTTTACTCAACAGTTGGTGTATATATGCATTTTATCTCCCACTATCAAGGAAGATAATGTAAGAAGACTAACTTTGCAAAGTTAAAATTGCACTGGAAATAGTCGTGACGGCGGGCAGTTGGCTGTGGCGTGGGGGTCCCCAGCGAGGCAGACCCGGGGCCGGCATCGCTCCGGCACGGGGCTTCCCCAGGCAAGTCTGGCGCGTGTTGCTCACCAGCTGTGACCTGGCAGATTCCTCTCGGCAGCGCGCTAGCTAGTGGCTCTGTTCATGAGAGGTTCAGGTTAGGCTTTTTACAGAAAATTATTTTACAATGGAGAGGTTTTTTTGAAAAAACTGTTTTACGAAGACTTCTTGTGGATTTCTGGCGTTTAAATGAAAATTCCTTTTTGAAAAGTCTTTTAACGCTCCTTTCAAAGACACTGTACGCTTCGCATCCTGCCCGCTCTCAGTGGCTATGATTTGAGAAGCTTTCTTGCTTGCTACTTTCACCAAAAAATAAACGACAAACTTCATTGGGAAAGTGACTTAAATTGTCGAGCTAGCATTCTGCCTGGTTTTCATGTGAAGGGTATTTGGAAGTTTTAATCTCTGTTCTTGGTTTTGCAAATATCTACGTAAAGTGCCGATACTTATTTGTATTACGATATCAAGTTACTGGCGTTGTGAGGGCCACACATTTATGATGCTGTAGCTGCTATATTTATTTAAATGGAGATGGACAATTACTGCACTAAGGAATGAGGAGATAAGCAAGGAATCAAGGTTAGTTAGATATCTTGTTTTTTTCAGAAGAGAATTACTGGTGTGAAATATCAAGTGTAACAAAGGGTGCTGTCATTTTAACTGAGATTAAATAGCCAGATATTCTTCCTTTGTTTAAAAACATATATATTTTGATGTTTGCAGTTTGGGGGTGGGGGGTTGGGATAAATGGTACCTCATCTGTGGTGGCAGTTTCCAGTATATTTTCAGAGTATATGGATTTCTTTTATTTTTGTACCTGCTCTCCTTTAAAAAGAAAAAAAATATCTCAAAATTTTATGTGCTGTTTGGGGAAATCTTGAGTGGCATACCAGGTCCCCCTCTCTTGCTGGGAGCTGTCTGTATATAGTCCAAAGAGGGACGTGGGCAGAGGCTGGCGGCTGTACGTACTCCGCAGACGTGCTGGCCTCGGCTGTATGCCTGTCTAGAAAACAGCTCCCGTCTCCCGAGGCACTGTACCAGCTGGCTGCGCTGAGGCCTCACGTGTGCCACTAATCGCTTCCGTGGTGGGAGCATGCAGAACGGCCCCAGCGCCGGGCTGGGGAAGGAGCAGCCGTGACACGCGACCTGGCGACTAGTAGATCCAGAGTTGGAGAGAAGTAGAGTGTGTGGTAGTTGAGATGTTAAACTGGCAACATCTGCTAACAGAATGACTGACTCCACTGTAAGTAGCTTTTTTTCTTTGTAGGGCGCTTCAGCCGTGGCCATTTTACTCAGGATCGCTGTATTACTGTTCAGTGTGTAATCTGGTTAAACACGTCCAAAAGTTATTTTTATAGGGTTCATTCTGGCATCCTTTTGGTAGTTTGTTTGGCCATTGAAGTGGTTTTCAGGAGTAAAATGGGTTTCTGGAAGTTGTCAGTCAAATTCTTTCAAGATGCTATTGGTCCTAAACTATTTTCACTTCTTCATGTACAAATTTTTGTCCTATAAGATACCAGATAGTCATCTTCTGTACAAATTCCAGCGGCGAATACTGGTTTTCTACTAGTCTTGAAGTTCACTCTGGTGAAATTCCAAGCTCAGCCTACACTTAAAAAATCTTGAGGCCTTCTTTTACACTTTCTTCATATCTTGTCCTCTTTTGATATTTTCCCAGTTTTGTGAACTGAGGGTTTAGATCCTTACTCAAAGCACTTTTATAACCAAGGACTCAAAAGCTCAGATTACGTACCTTGAAACTATAAATTCTGTTTTCAGAGATCGTTATTTCTAAACGGCCATCTCAGTCTCTGGTCGTGCCAGGCGGATACTCTGTCCCTTTCAGTGCTATGGAGTTTTATGGCTGCTACTGGCAGGTTGGTTGGATCCAGTGAAAAAATCCGTAGGGATGTCAAAGGGAAAGATTCCTGTCTGTCTTTTCTACCCAAAGATGGTACTTTAGGTTGATAGTGGGTGTTAGGATATCATTTTGTTTCGCAACATGTTTAAATAAAACTTCACGTAGCCAATTCACTCGTTTTTTGTAAACCTAAAAAAATAGTGGTTAGAGCTTGAGCTAATTAATGCTTTTTGCTAGTAGAATATTTTGTACTTTCAGTAGTTGAGGTATGAAGGAGATGGGTACAGGATCCTACACTTTACCTCCCTAGCAGAGTCTCGAGAATCCTGATCTCTAGAACACTAAAACAAAACCAGATTGTTGTCCCCGAGTAGGCAAAGGTGCGTGTGGAGGGGAGGAACTGCAAGGGAGAGGCTTGCAAGGGCAGATGCCGAAGCACCCGTTTTACAGAAACAAGGGTGTTGGTGGAGAGACTCCATCCACTTTCCATCCCGCATGCCCTGGCCTTTTCAGATCTCATCTGAGGTACCCCCTCACCTAACACGGGTAGTTGACGTAGGGTCCTTTCAAAACAAAGCAGTTCCACTGTTTAAAACTTGGAGTGATTTTTATTTTTTCTAAGCGAGACAGTCCTCAGAAAGTGCCTTTTTAGAAGATGGTGCTGTAGATTTTTATTTTCCAGTTGTACGTGGCTGAAAATTTAAGATGAATTACTGAAAATGCCAAGTGTTTGATGGTATCTTTCAGGTACTTTCAAGCATCAGCTTCTCTGAGTCAGGACCAAGAATAACCAGGAAGGTGTTTTCATGTGGAGGGAGAGGCGTTGAGGAGCGATCACCAAATCCAGCTGGTAGGCTAGCGCAGTTTTGGTGTGGTCGATGCGATTTATCCCTGCACATTGAGGGGGTGGGCGGGTGGGGAGCGCAGGAGAGGCAGCAGCGCGGGGCTCCTGGGGCGATGGGCTACGGGAACCCGAACTGAAAGCTGTCTGAAGCCTTGCGAGGCGGTCAGTTCTGCTGTGAGCGGGGCTCACGCGGCGTGGGTGTCGAAAGGAGTGATGTGCACGTATCCGTGGACTTGTAATTCTCAGCTGGGAGCTTGGATGCGCCGGGTGGGAACAGCTCGGTGGGGTGGGAGCTGCTGCCCTGCTCCGAGGGTTGAAGAGGGCGTGGGTCCATAGTGAGTTTGGTGGGCGTTCCTCCGGTCAGGAAAAGCTGTAGACTAGACTATTAAACACTGCACCTCAGTAACCTTGT